GAAATCAGATAGGCGATGCTTGTGCTGAGCTCTTCTAGTGAGGCAAGTGGTGATGAACTCTACTAACCAAACGTACTTTACTAAGTGAACTCGGTGTGACAGAAGGGAGAGCAACGCTCCCATTGTGAACAGCCTCCCACGTTGTTTTGGACACCAGAACAGACCCCGGAAAGAAATGTTCTGTTCCAAATAATCTTTCAGAACTGGGGGCTGCAAACCTAAAGGAGAGTGAGTGAGGGTGCATGTAGATGTTGTAAGGAGACAGGAAGCAGAAATGAGGGGCTGCACGAGACAGGCGAGAGTACACAGCGAGCTGAATGGGCTGGCACGTGCCAGGGTGCCCTACATGTCCTCTTCTAAGTAAATCCATAGCTCCATACTGGGTATTGAAGCCACAGTATGGATGTTTTAGTAGTATGACAGATGGGCAGACAGAGAGAGAGGACTTCTTCGTTTGTGTCAGCTGTTATTGCCAGGAAGGTGTAAAGGCAGCACAGATACTATTTCCTCGTTAAGGCCAACTCCACAGGAAAAGTTTACTGACGTGGTATGCACACTTCTGAATTTTCTTTCTTATGTTCTTGAACCTAGTTCGATAGCAAAGAATATTCTGTGGGATGTAAAGAGGAAAACAGCAGTTATTTGATTGGTAATTAAAATTTAAATTATTCCCCTCCCCACTAGTGCTTTTCTTGCTGTGCTGAACTGGGATTCTAAGCGGCAACTCCTGCTCCAGTAGTAATTATTGAATGCATTTTTACGCATTTACTGCCTAGGTGAGTACCTTGAAAATACCCTGAGTTCAGGGCTTTCCAACAGAATTAAGTGATCAAGAGCATAACGAGACACCCTTGTCCTCATATGTTACATCTTAAGGCTGGGGTGTCCGGACATTTCTGTCTTGCTAACAGCACTGTGCTGACCTTCTGGTTGTCTTACCAGCCAGGTCACAAGGAGGACTGGAAAGGACAGGGGTGGGGGGGGACTCCCAACAAAATAAAAAAACTTAACTCAGGTGCATCAGATATCCTAAAAGGTGAGATTTGATTTTAAAGAAGTTAAATAGCATGGAAAGCGACAGCTTCCATCAGTACTTTCTGCTGTTAAAAGTGTCATTTTCTTTCTTGGCATCTGTGGAAGAAGAGACCTAGCACTGGGAAGGAGGAGCACACAACAGAAGGGTCTGAGCAGGTGGAAAGGAAAGCCACAAGACAAGCTCAAGAGTAAAGTTTGTTTTCCTCCATGTTTTAATTTGACAAAAGAGGATCCATCTCAGGTTGGTCATCACGGGCTGGTAGCCGCGTTACAAAGCTGTACGTAGGTGGATGCTTTCTGGGAATGCCATTCACCGCTCAGAAGCTTTGCTTCCGCCAAGTTTTACCTTCAGCTTTTGAAGTGCAGCAGGGTAACTGTGCTCCTGCAGCGAACTAGGGAAGTTGAGCCTATTAAAAGCAAACAAACAAAACTATAGGGACCTTTTTTTTTTTAACTCAAGTTTGCAAGCTTTATACACCAAACGGCTAATGGGCGGGGGGCGATTAGGTAAAAACCACAGGAAGCATCTGGTGTTTGATTTTAGGCCTCTAAGTAGAGAAGAATAAAATGCTTGTTACAGCTTTTTAAGCCATGCCATCTATAAAAGCATGGGTCATCGTCATTGCTCTTAGGTTCAGCCCATTTCTCCCTTTGACCCTGTGCTCATGGTTTGCAGCACATGGGCAGGCCTGTATGAAGAGAAAAAAAAAAAAAAAAACCACACACAAAACCAAACCCTGTTGTTTCTGTACAAAGCCAAAAAACAAAACCACAACAAACCCAACCCAACAACCAAAACCCTGAAAATGGAAAAACATTTTTATTTTTGGTGTTCCAGGAACAATTTGAGTTCCTGGGCTCTGCAGGGGAGCAGCAGTGTTGCACCTGCTGGGAGGGCACTGGGAGCAAATTAGGGGATGGGGGGAGGTGGCAGTGGTCTGGCACCTTGCAGTAAGCTTGTCACTGCTAACCCCTGAGCACTCTTGCATAGGCTGTGAATGTATCAAAAACCTTGCGCTAAAGCCCAGTGAGTTCCTGGCAGATTCAGCTGTGGTCAAGTTGCATGCCCTTAAGCTAATTTTAAAAAAAAAAAAAAATTCCCTTTACAAAATCTCTTTCTAGGTAAGCAAAGCTGGAGAAGACTGATGCAGAGAGCGCCACAGGAGCTTGGCTGCCATGGGCTCTCGTGGGCTGACGCCAGTGGAGCGTGCGAGGTTTGCTCGGACCAGGTCTGTTAGTCGTGTTGTCACAAAGGCAAGGACAAGCGAGTACAAGAGGGTTGGGTTCTTCTGCCTCTGACCGGCCAGCGGTCTGCCAGGGGCCGGCTGTTCACGAGGTGTGCCCTGGGGCGCCACACTGATGGCAGTTAGAGGTTGGATCAAATGGCATTTTAGCAATAGTCAAATTCTGTAATTCTGTGTGCAGGAACCTGGCCAGCAGGGGAAAGATCAGTTTTCATGAGACAACCAATATTTTACTTAATGGGTTTTGGACATTCCCCTCTACTGCTCCCAGAGAGAAATTCCAGAAAGCCTAAATAAGTAAGTGCATTCAGGCCTTCAGAGTAAATCTTCAATTTAAAAATACAAGTGTCATAATTCTAAAGAGGAACAGTACAGAAGAAAATGTACACAGTCTTAACTACTTAGAGGTAATAAATGGTTATACTAAATGATAGAGAAATCATTATATACATCTTTTTCTAATTCCTTGCGTTTTCTAGACAGCTTATTAAAATATAGGAAATGTAGATTCATCTGTACAAAATTTGGAATGTTTTTTCTAAGATGAAGAACTTATAGGATATGCTAAGAATTCTTTTCTAACAACTGGTTTTAATGCTTTGACTTCTAGTGCAAGAGGCATTTAGAGAAATCGGAAGGTGGGTGATACCTTTCACAGGATAAAGGTCAGGAGCTCTTTTACTCTAGGACAAAAAGAAAAAAAAAAGAAACCGCTAACTTTCTGTGGTCTCTACCACATGTTAAAAACAATCTGCATGTTAGATTGAACTTGCTCAGAACCTGCAGAATAAAAGCATACTATACACTTTCCTCGCTTTCTGTTATGCACTGTAACGAAATGTGAAAATAACGCTGTATTTAGCTGTCTGTATGTGACTGAAAATATGCTTGTATTTAGCAAAATGGTTACTACGTGATAATGTGAAATTTAAAACTTGTAAAGAAACTTTGGTGGTGGTTTGTTTTTTTTTTTTCTCCCCCCCCCTCCCCAGTTTTTATCAGGAAGCCATCTACTACCCCCACCACTTGCATGCTGCCACAGCCATCTCCCCCCTGGCCCCAGCCTTTAGGTACCTTTAGAACCTACGGAGCGATTCCAGCTGGCGTGCTGGCACCCCCACCATGCAGCATGAGGTCGCTGGCAGTGGCACACAGCACACACTTTGCTCATGCAGAAATGCTTAACTCGTCATTTCATTGTGCGCAACGCAGGCAGGCAACCGCTGCCTTCGGACCAGCCAGAGCCGGGGGAGCGCGCTTTAAGCCTGTTGGGATCTCGTTAACCTACATTGAAGGGAAAATTGCAAGAGAAATCAGGACCTGTTTGCAGCTGCCTTTCCTGTCATTCCTGATGCTCTTAAAAAATGGGAGAGAAGCAGCCCGCAGTCTGAGCAGCCCCCCGTTCAGCCTAGCGCAGCCCGTTAGTCAAGTCACGTGTTAGATCGAAACATTTCTCTGCTACAGCCAAAGATGCTGGAACAAACAGCATCGCCCTGCAGGAAAGGTATGGCTGAGCCAAGCCCAGGGACTTACTCGTGACCGGTGGTACGGATTTACCCGGTTTCCACCCATCCCTGCAGCTCTCGCTCTTTTACAGCCACCGTGCTGTCGAATCAGTTGCTGGTATTCACCAAGTCAGATGTGCTGACTCACGCTCCCCGTTCCATTCAAGCCGGCATTCAGCAGCTCCACTGTTCGCGGCTGCTGCTTCAAACAAATTTTTTCACCCCCCTGCCCCCCGTTAAGGGAGGGAAACATTATAAAAAGATCACACATCAGGTCGATGACTTTCTCACACAAAGAAAGATGCACAAAAATAGGTGTTTGCCACAAGGGTTTAGTTTTACTATTTTAATATCATGAAATAAAAGTACAAAAAATTTACAGGTATATTGTTTCTTACATGAAGATCAAACAGTTAACATTTGCATTTATTTTGCAGCGAAACCTGTATTCTCAGTCACAGAATGTGAGTATTAGCCACTGACATCACCACTGCGCATTTCATTTTAGAAAGAAACTGGAGAGGTAAAAGGCAACAATCTTGCAAGGCTTCATAAGAACCAAAAAAATACTCCAACTGCTAACGCCAGAAGTCATGCTTCAGTAAACCATCCTTACCTAATACAGGTTTCACCACCTGGGAGGCTGAGAGCGTTAAGACATTGGAACTGGACGTCTTGTCTAAGGGATCGTAAATAGGGGGGTTCTCGTTTACAGGCTATCAGCGTTTTGGTGCCCTTGTTCGACGCGTTTGCAAAACCAAGCAGTGTGCGCGCACGTATGAAAAAGAACGGGGTGAGATCACCTGCAGTCTTGACATAGCTTGTGCTGTTTACTCCGTTCACCACTCTTCTCTGAAGACGAGTCACAAACTGTTGTACGTAAAGTGCTGAGAGTTCAGTAACAGGCAGTTAACTAACCAATAAATATTAAAAACAAGTTTATCCAAAGTGGATATCCAGGAATGCTTGCAGATTGATGCTGCCAATTAACTGACTGAAACAAAATCCAAGACTTCACTGTATTTTTTCTGTTTCCTAGAACATTACAGCTGCATGTCTTCCCAGCCCAAGTCGACTTCAGCACCATCAGCTGTACACAGGGATGAAAAAGTAAACCCCTGCATTACCTTAACCTGCTAAAATGTCAGACCCCATTTCCATACATGCCCCTCCACTTTTCAGACAAGCTTTCAGGCAGAAATTTATTTATGACAGACTGGTCTGTGCGGTGCCTTTTCAAATAATTCATTTCATGAAGCATGCATGAAACCAAATTTTGAGTTTACAAATAAATAAAACGGTGCTCACCATTAGTTTTTATATATTTTACCATTTACTGAAATGCTTAAAGTAACTCAGTCCCTTAAGAATGAACTTGGGGGTGTTTAAATAAAAAATATTTGGAAATTGAAACCGCATTCAAAATTGGCAAAACTATGCTTTGTTTTTGGAAGGGTCTTGCTTGTTTCTTCTCTTTACATCCCAATTATAAACTCTAGCCATATCTGAGGGTGTGGAATTAAGGAAATCGCTCATACATTCGGAAAAGAGAAAAAAAAGGGGAAAAGCAGGTTACACAGTTGGCCACACTTCATTTACTTGTAACAGTCAATACAGAAACCATTTAATGAAAGAGCTGACTTGGTGCAACGCCTTAACGCACAGGAACACTACTAACTGTTAATAACTGCAGCATTTATACCATTTACTTACAAACCTCCAAAAAGATAGTACAGAGAAACACGCTTTTCATTTTACTTACCAGCTACTCTCTTCTGATTTCAGTCAACCTGCCCATATCAGCTGTATCTGCCTATTTCAGGCATCCAGAACTTTCTGCAGCACTAAGATAGCTTAAATAGCAACTTGAGAAAACAAGTACTCCTGCCTTCATTTACTAAATCTAATGCTTCAGTTGACAGCTACCCTCATCATTAAAATAGTTCTTAAGTAGAAAATATAAAAAAAAAAAATCCACACCCCTGGAAGTGGTATCCACACCCCTGGAGGTGGTTCATGGTAGTATAAAGAAATTAAAAAACAGTTAAGCAAGGCCTAAGCTAGCACTGAGCTTGCTGCAGCAGAGCTTGCGTGGCTGGGAGAACGCTGCGATGGGAGCTGAGGCGGGTGTGATTAGCAATAGCCCAAGCACAGTGTTTATACGCTCCAGAGAGGAAGGGAGAGCCGCTCTGCTTTGGAACTGCTCCTGGCCATCAATCCACAGCACCGATCCACACCTCCAACTCGCTTCCAGTCTCGGTTTGCCCCACCGCAGCCGGTTTCATGGGGCCCCAGTCACAAACGCAAGCTTTGCTACATCTAACGTGCCAAGCCCCAGCTCAACGCTGGAAACTCGATATCCCGTTTCACTGCTAGAAAAAGTTAAGTTCCTAGGGTGTTCCAGAATTTTAAGGGCAGCCAGTCTAAGATAAAACCGTGTCAGGAAATGGGTCATTACCTGTATGTTAGCTTTCACATACACCTCTTCCCCCGCAAATAATAAAAAAAAAAGGATACTGACTTCTGTAGTGGTGAACTGATCTCTAAGAAAATCCAGGTCTTCCTCTAGAAGATCAAGGTTTCTTGTGGCTGTTGACAAATTCTTCTCTAACAGAGCCTGAGCTTCATCAATATCATATTCAAGCATCACATTGGCCTAAAAAAAGGAAGATGGATAAAAGCTTTTACTCTTGCATTGTAAGGAATGAGCCAGAGCAGGCTTATTTCAGGCTTTTGCTTGTAACTTATCACATTAACAAAAGGCTGTCCTGACAGGCCAAGGCAACAAGATTCAGGATGAGCAATGCCAGAATCCACTCGAGGCCTCCACCACTTCAGTAATAAACCCCTCCAGCGACTTAAAGTCCTTTTCCTATAGCTAAGCAACAAGGGATTTCTCTCCCTGTGGACTGCATTCAGCCTTTCAGGTATCAGTACCTCATCGTCCCCATATTTGAAAAGCGAGAGACTTCACGTTTCTTAGCAGCACCTTTCAAGTGTCACACAGCTCTAGAAACAATTTTTGTTGCGTTCAAGATTAACTGTAGGATCTCTGTGTGGAACACTGACAAAGAGCCTCATGGCACTGGTTGCTCACAAGAAGTATTACAGAAGTATGAAAGTCCTATCCTATACTGTGGTGGTTTTTAATCTACAAATCTTTATTTCAGTAAGAAGCTACCACACAAAGAGATAAAAGAGCAGTATCAAGCGAAGATGCACCAACAAAGCTCTGTCCCGTTAAAGAACTGTGCATTGAGCAGAGCCGCATACTGCTAACCAGCCACGATCCCAGGGAATGCTACACAGAGCGGCAAGAGTGAGATAAGCCGTTCTTTTAAAATGACTGGAAGGCATCGTTTCCCCAATAATAGTAATATGCATAGCCCAACATGCAGACTGTAAGCAACAAGGAGGACAAAGGCAGAAGGCCAAGAACACCTAAATATAATCAATTGCTTGTGGCATTTCATTATCGCTTCTCTGCATGAACTATCAATAGGATGAACTTTCTCTGATATTCCATTACAAAATAAACCTGGGATGCTCCATGAAAGTCAATGCTTGTGAATGCTGAATACAGTCTCCTAAAAGCAGCGGGTATCAGACAAATCTTCTCTTTTTATGACAGAAGTGGGAGAGGTTGGGAGCAACTGCCCAATCAGCTGCACGTCAACAATGTTTCTGTCCTAACCAAGTGGTTTTGCTTGGCAGCCAACACTGGGATTTGGGAACATCTGGGACTTAGAATCTGTCTCAAAACAAACATTAGGAGGTTATCTCCACATATAAGGAAGTCTCTGAATACAAAATATCTCAACCTGATATCACTTAAGTACTTAGAAATCTGTGTTTTGAGCTCTGATCCCACCGGTCCTTACCACCAATTCCACTCTAAATGCTGGCAGGTACCTGCGAGTAACAGAAATCCCATCTTTCCCTAAAAACATGCATGAAAAGGGAAAGTAAGATGCTAAGTACAAATAATGTAAAGAAGATGGGAAGCTACTTGCCAAACTAAGTTATTTTGCTGGGCACATTCCCATCCCAGGCAACGCTGGATGGTAATTCGAACCACAAAGTGATAAAAGCTATAAGGAAAACATTCATTAATATGCTTTTTGGAAAGAACAATCCAACAAAATTACAATCCTCTGAAGTCTTACTGTTCAGGCACCACATAAAATCCAACATGAAACCTTTGCTAACGCGTTGAAAATTGTCTTGTTAGGTTTGCCCTGCTGACAGGACACAACTCCACTACGCACACCTGAACAGAACTCCGCCCATAGCCACTAGAAGGACACGAGACAGCAACGCGCGCTGTCTTTCATAAGCCTTTTATAAGTTATTTAAACAATTTCAGAGAAAGTTCCATTTTACTTACCCCCAACCACAAACAAACTTTATCTGTAGGAGGAACTGAAGCTTTGCAGTAGAGATTATCTGCCAATAAAAATCTGGTTTCCATTGGATTTGTGGAATCCTTAAGACAAATGATAAAACTTAAAATTGCTATTTTCACTGGAAAATTATGTCAAAGACATAAAACGTACAGTAAAGAGCACACTTTTCTGCTTTTTACCATTGATACAGTATTAACTTTGGTGGAACTCTACATAATTTTACTTCAACGCTAAAGTTAGAGCTCCAAGAATAAAGCATTTTAAAAAGATATATTTAAAAACAATATAGAAATCTCTATAAAGAATAGAGATGAAGTCAAAGCTTAGCTGCAATCTACGCGCTATTGAAAGTGAAGTTTGCATTACAAACATTAACTTTTTTTGAACTAGCTTTCAAAAAGTACTACATACCTTTAAAAACAATTCTGTTATTTATAAAGGCATATTAAGTGTGCTCTCCAAAACATTTCTTGCAATGTGTTCTGTTAGGGTGGAAAGGCAGTTAGCTTTTCTCATACTCATTAGATATTCAAAATAGTTTACCTTTTTCTTCTGCATGTGTTTTAAAATTTCTAATGTCTGTTTAATTTCAGGAATCTGACTTTTTAGCCTGTGAATTAACAACAGTCATAATTTATTATTTTACAGAGACACAAAGTTTCCTAAACAAGTGATCAGTTTCATTATACAATCCAGCCTCCATTTTAAAACCTGAAACTCTAACAGCTTTCCAGGCTTAGCAAATGCAGATTTGAAAGACATCAACGTAAAGGCATCTCAGCTACAGCTTCACCTGCCTCTTATACTGAGGCTCACTGGTTTTCTGAAGCAGAGCAATACATACAGCTTTCAAACTGGAACAAACACGTAGTAACAGATACCTCTTTGCTAAAATGGTCTGGTTTTATATTTCTGATCTCCCCGAAGAAGAGGGAAACCTCAGCAGAAATACAGATAAAAATCACTGTAGGTAAAACAAGACAAGCGTGTTCCTTCTGAGGTCCACAAACTACTCGAACAGTTTAGAGCGACAAGACTTGGCACTGTTAAAATGGAAGCTCTCTCCAGAGTTCAGGGCATCCCCCTCCTCCACAGCCCTCGCAGCAGCCCCGCAGAGCTGCTGGGACCCCCCGGGCCGCCCTCCTCTGCAGCCAGCGGAGACTGCCCAAGCAGGCCTCCAGGTGGGAATTACGAGGGGTATCTGTCCATGAAAGAAGTTTAATCTAAATAAAATATTACTTGAAGCTTTGATTTTAGCCTTTAAAAATTTGCTTCTTGCCTAGCTTCAGATCAAGGCTGAAGCTACTGAAGAGAGACGAGATTACTAAACCAGAAGTTACAGGCTTGATACAGTAGTCATTTGACAAAAACGTATTCTTATTTACACCAGGCTGACAAAATTAAGAGACTATAGCAGTACTTTGTGGCTTTAAAGGCTAAGGACCACTTCAGCAATACGGTAAATTCTTCTGCACGTAATTCTCGGGAAGAGGGAAGAAAAAAAGCTAGGCTTTCCTGAAAGTACTGCAAAGATTAGCTCTCCTAACATCAACTTTATACTTTTGGGGATATTTAAAAAAACTAGACAACTTAAAAAAAAAAAAAAAAAAAGAACTGTGCTAAACATTTCCCAATTCTGCAAAAATTATGACTTACCTCCTTTTCTTTTGAGCAAGATTAAGTTCCAAAAATTTATACTTCTGATACTGCTCATCCAACTTCTTAAGAACTACATCTGCTGTCTCATTTCCAGGCTGTTTCATAAAAGAATCTACATCTTCCTTTAAGGGGAGAAAGAAACCCTCAGTGTTAGAAGAGTTTTACAGAAATCCTAGATAAAGTAATGCTATCATCTTACTGCAGCTAAGTCTAGAGAGGTTTTTATATGTAAACAAACTTATTTTTTTCTGCAGTGAAGTACAAAATAATTTTGTTTCCTTTCTTAGTTAGCCACCTTTTTGCTCCCTGCCCACCCCCACCCCCCCTTTTTGGTTGGGAACTACAGAATAGGTGCAAGGATTATTTCATAACCGTATTTGCTAGTACCTTGTTAGTGGTGCTTTCGGTCCCGGCCAATGTCAAATGACACCTAACAGGGATGGATATCCTCAGACTATGGCTAAACTTTGGTTTCCTATCTGTAAAGCAGGGATAATGCTTCTCTGTGGCTAATCGGATTACAAACTATTTAGGATAAGACTGATGAAGGAAAAGAATCACGGCCTGATGAAGCACGTTGTGGCAGAGAAAGAGGCAAAGGGAGGAAAACTGTGGTACCTGCCTAGGCAGGCTTTACAGTGGTAAACAGCTTGTCTTCAAAAGCTCCTTCTGTAGCCAGCAGGAAGCCACAGAAAGCTCTAGAGAACAATTCCAGCCAGTCCTACCATCACCTGGAAAAGTAGCCAGAGAAGACAGGCCTGGGCAGGCAAGGACGCTGACCTCTGCAAGTGCCTCCTTCAGACTCCCAGGAAGCAGTTCAGCTGCCTGCGGGCAACGCTCGCAGCCTCGCGAAAGCCACGTCGGGCCACAGATCAACCGCGCGTTTCTGACCGTGACAGCATTTACCTACGTATAATTCAAGATGACCACACTGTGCACTGTGGTAATTCTGTCTTTGTCTACATAGCTCTGTAAAGTCTGATGGAAGCCTACCACAGGCCTCTTCAGCTTCTCCTTTTCAACTAGGTGTTTCCATTCCAGTAGTTTCACATCAGAAGACTGTAATACGTTACTAAAGTAATATCAGACATATAGTTAGTTCCTCTCATTACGACTCCTAAGCTCTCTTGGCTAAAGAAACTTACTATGAAATTACTGAACCTGGTAAGAAGTCACCTGCTTTCCTTATCATTAAGGAAATTCGCAGCAGAAACACGAACTCCACAACCGACTTCAGCAGGCAGCATCATCTAGATGGTACACCAGAACTCAACAGACTGCATTTCAGACTAAGTGCCTGAGGAATGCCTTCAGCTACCTACCGACGACAGAACGAGAAGCATTC